AGAAATCCATGATGCAGGAGAAGTCGGTCACGGTTTGGAACATCCAGAGAAAAGCTTGTTTGGGCGCTCTCTTCTTTGTGTACGTCTTGTTATCCGTGCCCTGTATCATAGATCTCGTGCACTATCTGATCTCCAGCAAGGAACTAGAAGAGGTAAACATTACTCCTCTACAACGACCGTGTATGGTCATTCTGCCTTTCTTATAAAGATTTCAATTAACTTTTTACATGTATCTTGATTAGGATTTGTTTCAATTACTCTTGTCCAAAATGTTTTCGATACTAGTATCAAGAGTAGAAGAAATGTAGTTTCAATTAAGATAACCATGTTATTTTTACCAAATTTGTCCTGTACAGCCTAAAGTTATATAGCCTAGAAATATTATATTCTAGAAAACTTGTACCGGTACTATGTTCATCTGTGAAGAATTTCTTTACAGACTATACAAATATTGGAAGAAACAGTGAAACTGCATTCCTCGACAACGCGGGTGATTCATGGTTTCCACTGTTTTTTGATGAACATAGACTGTGAAACGCGCATGTTGCATCTTCTCTCCGAAAGTAAACACAGGTGTCTAAGTGAAGATCACTTGTTTGAAGTAATCACTGCGATTGTCAAGTCCAGCCCGCAAAACAACAGCTTTAACCCCGCCATAAATGGGTCTACCCTAAGTGCCTTTTCGTCTTATCCTTGTGCTGAAACAACATTCCAGAACTTGCATACTGCAGCTCTTCCAAAGATTGGCTCTCTAGTGGTCCAGTCTTTAAAATACATACGTTCTTCTTACGCTGCTTTTGACGTTTTGGTCAAACTGTACTGGAACTGTTTTTCGAATGATCACACCGAGATGCATCATTTTCTTCATGAGGTTAATTACATAAAGGGGCACCTGTTGTCTTTCTTTTTAAAGGAAAAGTCACGTGTTTCAATAAAACAGCTGGACATTCTCTTGATAGAGAGGTTCAAACTTTCAACAAATGGATCATCCGACTTGTGTTCAACAGCGATGCTTCAAGAATATTTGTCGACTGTTAACGAAATAAACGACATATCAAGTCAGCACCTACAACTTTTGCTAAAGTTTACTCAGTCCGAATATAAATGGTCAATAATTGTCCAGTCCATGTATTTTTTTGTTCTCCTAAGCCTACCATTCATCTGTTCTTGGCATTTTGTCGAGTACTGGCGTAAGCTTGTGCTGGTCCATAATTTATCACAACGATACAACATGGTAACCGATCAACTGATGAAGGAAAAAGTGGAGTTTAAGTCCATACTCAGTGAGGTCATTCCAAGGTCGAATTTCGGCGAAGTTGTCTCGGAAGGCTCCAGGATGTCTTTGATGTCCTCGGCGTTTAGACCAGACTCTCAGTGCGAGCCGGTACAAGTATCTTTTTCAGACACTGAACTGTCCGATGGCGGCGAGGAAACGGATCGACCGGTTCGAACCTCGAGGAGAATATCGTCGTTAAATCGGTTCAAACAGAAGAGTGTACCGATGGGAACAATTCACGAGACATACAGCATATACGACAAGATAACGAAGAAACTGTCCTGTAAGCGATCCAATCCGTCCTTGTCGAACGAAGTAACGATATTTCGATCAGACATTGTTGGATTTTCTCGAATTATGAAGTATTTCACGGCTTCTGAGATGGTGAACCTGGTGTCGTACCTGATGAAGTTGTTTGATGAGCGGATACAACTGTATGATGTGTTTGTCTTGGGTAGAGAGGCGGACTCTTTCACCATTATCTCCGGTAAGTTTCGTGTTCGTCAGGAAAATCCTGAAATGTTGAGATTTTTTAACACAGGCGTAGACTTGCTTATGGTTATCTGCAGAACTGTAGCTAATGAAGAGTAAACAAGTCCTCTTTTGTGAAAAGAATATTTTCAAACAACAGATGAGATGAAAATAAGAATCCAAAATTCGTCGCATTTACTTGTAATCAACAGTATAATTCAAAGATTCGTTGACTTGCGATAAGTTTCAGTATAAAAATTTCACTGACGTTAGTTAAGCATTGATATCGCTCTATTTCCATTTCTAATTTTTTTCTCTGTGATAACTCTTTGAAAGTTAGGGGTAGTTATTTCTTGATAATTCTGCCGGAATGTAAATTAGGCAGGTCGATAGGTCGGGAGCTAAGGAGGCCTAATACGCATGCAATTCTCGTGCGCATCTGTCTCTGTGTCTGACGCTAAGGAGGCCAAATATGCAATATAATGAAATTTGGAAGTCATCATGTCATTTAAATCTATTTATCTACATTTTTAAAGTCTAAATCTACAATTTTATTTCACAATTGAAATATCGCTAGTTAGGAGGGTATATTATTGTTGATGCCCTGACATACCCTCCTAACTAGACAGTGAAACTACAGTTGAAAATATATTTTTGTTTGTTTAACGTCCCTTTGAGAATTTTTTTTTTGAGTTTTGGGATTCGAACCAGCGACAAAATGATCAACTTCTTACTCTAGAACAAACGCTCTAACCTAGAGCATCACGCGGGTATAACAATACTTTTAACAAAAATACAGCTCCTAGATGGTATACCTTTTTCTGTACAAAATTACTCTTTTGCAAACGATAAATCCATTTTGGTAATCAAAACAATAGTGTAATTGACATTCGCTATTATCAGATTCCTATAAAGATTTGAAAATTTTAGCAACAACACAGAGTGGGATACGTTAAACAGTATTTGGTACAACTGTAAATTGGATATTTATTGACAATCATTCACAATTACAAGTATATTACATGATTTTGCAGGTATTACATCGGCACAGACAACTCGCCACGCTTCAGAAATTGTCAACATGGCACTAGATTTGATGTCAATCAGTAGCGATTTAGAATTCCAGACAGGCCCCGAGACAAAATTGCGGCTCCGCATGGGAATTCACACCGGTAAGCCTGAGTTTTATCTGCTGGTCAATATAATTTATAGTTATCTGTTGAAACTTTCCTTCGAATTTCAAAAATTACAATCAAATCAAACCACATTACCTTGGGACCGAGTATTCGAGTTAAAACCTTGACATATATCCATGGTATTCGAGAAAGTGAGGTTCGCGATACTGAAGTCCGACTGTAAAAATATTTTTCTTTTTTCTTTCTTACAGGTGTTGCCTACAGTAGACAGGTTGGTTTTCCAAGACCGCGGTTCAATATTTGCGGGGACATTTTAGAAGTTGCCAAAAAGATCGTGCAAAATGCGCAGCGTAAGTTTAAACTTTAAAGTGAACATACTAGATTAAGTATTTCATTGGGTAGCTAAAAGCAGCCAACTCTAAGAACATTAATTACGAGATAATTACGATTTTCTAGCCAATCAAATTCAAGTCAGCGAAACAACATATCAACTATTGTGTAGACAAGTTGCATACAATCTAGGAAAGAGTGGTCACGTCACCACCGAGGTAAGTTAATAATTTGAAAATCTTATTTTTTAGTTATTTCTCAAAACAAACTATGCATTAATATACACTTAAACCTCGTTATCTCAAACTCGATTGGAATAAGATTGATTGATTGATTAATGTTTTACGCCGAATCGGCAATATTTCAGCCATATATCGGCGAGATTGGAATAAAAATCTAACGATATGATCTGAGTATTCGATTGTAAATTGTTTTAACGTCCCTCTCGAGAATCTTTCACTCACATGGAGACGCCACCACATGCCGGTGGAGAGCTGCAAATTTTGTCCTTTATTCGGCACTCAGGGCCATTGAGCAGGGAGGGATCTTTTTCGTGCCAGCACCTACGCGACACGGGACCTCGGATTTTTACGGTCTTCTCCGAAGGACCGGTCTCCACGTCCCACAGTGGTATTCGAACCCGCGACGTAAGGATCAACTCCTTACTTCGCGACTCTAGAGCAGACGCTCTAACCACTGCGTCACGCGGGCGACTCCGAGTATTCGAGGAAAAGTGATTGGGACTTCTAAATTACTTAAGACATATCCATGGTATTCAAGATATCAGTGCTTAAGAAATTGAAGCTCAACTGTATATTGCATTCCATTATAAATACTAGTATTTTAAAATTATTTCATTAATAATTGAATACATTGATAACAATTCAAACTTCCTATTAGGCAAATAAGAATATCAAGGTTTACACCCTGAACGGACGCCGTGTGTCAGAGGATGTGACAGCCAGAGACTGCCCAGGGAAGAGGACGGCGTGGATTCCCATACAGCTGGAACAGAAAGCACTTTACAGGTTGGTAATAACTGCCGAGATGTTGAGCCCAAGCAATTACACACTTTTTAGGAAAAAAATGTTTAATGAATGGATATCGGTACTCTATTCATCTAATTTATTGTTGTTTCATTGAATTTTTAGTTTATTTTTGTTCAATTTTTCCAAATTTCAAGCAATTTGATAGCACATTTTAATTTGTTTAAAGGCCTACAAAAGAATTAAATCAGATTTTGTTTTAAATTACAGATTTGAGGCTGAGGAGAATCGCTATCTGGCTCCGTTGAACTGGATGATGCCGAGCTGTTCCTACTCCATGGCGTCTGGATCGACGTCTCCCAGTATCTCTCACACCAGGTGTGCATCACGTCAAAGTAATTCCAGTCGCCCCCTCCGGCTCTCCCTACAGGAGTCCTACAGGGGACCCTGGGATTCCAAGCTTGGCAGTGCTAGTCTCGACCTGTACCAAAGCTAGCGGAAATGGCACAGAACGGGCATTCCAAGCTTGGCAGTGCCAGTCTCGACTTGTACCAAAGCTAGCAGAAATATCACACAAAGCATCAACTCCCGAACTAATTAGAGATGTCTACATTTGAGGATTAATTTTTTATAACTCCTAAAGAATTCCTTAATATCGATTTTTTCCTTTAAATCTCATTAAGAAAAATATTGTAAATACCAGAATAATTTTAACATTAATAAATTCCTTAATAAATTCCTGAATATCTGCTTGACAAGTTAAAAATCCATAATTTGATCAATAAAAAAATGACAAAACTCTTTTGGAAGCTTATTTGGTTTATTTGTTTCAAAGAGAGGGAAGTATGTTACATACAATGTTGATATCAGCGAAGCTAGTTAAATGACTAGACATTTTGTAGAAAAGGAACACACCACTAAGCAACAGATCTAAACAAACACACGCACACAAAGAAAATCTCCATATACTAGAAAACAGATGTACTATCTCAATCCAGAGGAACAATCTTCTATTTAAGTAACCTTTTCCGATGCGTGAACACTTAATATGTGGAGTAATCTGACATCATACCACTCTACGTCATCATACCAAAGTGTATAAAGTACTTAATTAACAGCAGTTCTAAGCTAAAATTGTGCTAGAAAATGTTACACATGTATAAATTGTATTAAGCAAAAACAAACTGACATTATTTTATCATGGCAAAACAAGTAAAGCTATGGTTACTGCACTCTTATTGATCATAATATTTTCTTTCAACAGAAAACTTGATTCCACTAAAGCTTAATAAAAAAAAATTATAATCTAAATCATTTTAAATAATATTTGTCATAATGCTCAGAGTTATCAGTGAGTTTATTTTACTTTTTCTGGTCAGCTCTGTGGGTAAAAAAAAAACTTTAGTAACTAATTTTAATGATCTGCATCCCTTCTACACAAAAATAAGGATAAATTTTGTAGACATGACAGAACATGTATGCTTACACTAACCCAAATCCCCATGCTCTTATAAATTTAATGGCACTTCTAAATGGAAAAATAAGATCTGTTTTCACACACACACACACAAATTCTATGTCTTTTGGACTCGCATCTCATTAGTACACACATGGAAAAGGATAATTCAGTATTATCTATACATATTGCACATCAACAAGGAAGGTAAAAATAGAGGCTTAGATGCCACAAAGCTCACCTGAGCCATATTTCTCTCTCTGAACAAATGAAAATGAAAACAATCAATGTGGACATAAGCTTACAGTCCTGACTTACAGTTTTCAATCACAGTACATTGAAGCAAGATATGAATTCTTCCCACTGTAATTTTGCCACTTTATTGGAAGTCCATATGTTTCTTTGTTGAATGTTGACAGTTGACTCACTACTGAAGCCATGGTAGCCCCCCTCTTGTCCTGAGGACTTGGAAGCTATAGAGCCACGAGCAAGGTTCTGTATTAACTAATTGATGAACTGCTGTATCATTCACAGGAATGTGTTTATTGTCAATATAATGTTTGCCCTAATATTAATCTTGACAATAAGTCTTCCCTTGACAAAACTTTGCCCCTTTATTGAGACCAAACCCCAGTCTTGGGGGCCATAAGTCAGGTGAATCTATATATCACAAAAATCATGAAGGATGATTGCAAGATCATTCTAATTATAGTTGGAGTCATTAATTTCGTTATAAAAAAGAAATGTTTTCTTAATTTGGCACACTTTTACTCCTGCTGACAATTTGAAACAGCTTGAATTTAAAATCATTAAGGATGGTTTAATGCAGATCAATTCAATTGTCACCTTCCTATTTCTACTACATATTATTCATCTTCAATTGAAAAGAGGTTCCCATGGGTGTTTCGAGTCTTATTTGCTACAAAAAAAGACCACTTAGTCTGGATAAGTACGTAATGAAATATTAATTGACAGAATTCAAGACAAACAGATATACAATAGGAAATTTGATCAGAAAAAGCTGGCTCATGAAATCTACAAATAATCATGAATTAATTGTGATAAAAATTGATCAAGAAGAAATGCAAAAAAAAAGAGTACATTAATCTGAGACACCGTCGATTGTACATAATGCACCAAATAATGACATACAATATTCATTTTCTTATAAAAACAAAATTGATTTGTTATCATGGTTACGAGAAACAAATGAGGAGACCCCACTATTTTGGAGGGTAATATATATACTACTGAAACAGTATTATACAGATAATTGATTGAGTGTGGTACCTCCATTACAACTTTAATAGGTTAATTTCTGAAAAATTCTGCATTTATGTGTAACAGAAATGAATGAAATTATACATGTATGTTAAACAAAAAAAATATACATCTTCTTACTTGCATGCTAAGGCAATCTGACAACTTGTTAAAAATATGAACTGTTATACAGATATCTGATAGATGGCGATTAAGAAACATTTAGCAAATCTCAAAATAGACATTTTTTGTAGCGATAATAAAAAAAAAAACACAGCATGTACAATGTATTTAGTTTCTTCAGTCATGTAACTGAACTAATGCAAGGATAAGCATAGCTAGCAATAAATATATACTGAAAAATATGTACATCTTCAAGATTCAATAAAAAAAATCACAGAGATATTCTGGTAAGCAATGCAAATATTTATCAAAAAAAAAAAACAAATGGCGATATACAATAACAGAAATGTTGCTAACTGCTGGAAATGTAAACAGAACACAAAATGGACTGTTGCTGCTCCACAGGATAGTCAGGGAGGGTGGTAATTACCCCCCAGGGAGGTGGCGATTGCTGGTCAGTAGGGGGATGTACACATCGTGTTAATCTGCATTGTCCTTGCGCTTCAATTTCTCTGGATTCTCAGAGGCCATATGAGTGAAGTCTTTAAATACATCATTAAATGTTTCATCTCCTGTGGAAAATGAGGACAGGGTTGTATGTTAACTTTTTTCATCAACAATTACAAGAACATACACGTGAACAATGCTGAATAAGACTAAACACATCACAGACACTTTTGTTAAAACATGATTTGAGTACCAGTAGAAGCAACTTAACTGAATGCTTATTAGTAAATTTAAAAATGTTAATTTCTGTTCTTCCCATCATTCAAAAAGCCTAGGTACATTATGATTGAATAGAAAATGAACAGTCATTCAGTCACAGTCACATAATGTACCATATTCTCCCTTATGAATAGCATCCAATTTTACAATAAAGGAATATAAATCTCTGAGATCACATCTCACCTGGATTTCCTCCGTCTTCTTTCATGTCCTCATTTAACTTGGCTAATCTCAATCTAAAATAAAATATGTCATATTTATAACTCATGTGACTTTTATTGTTGGTAGAGTATAGAAAGAAGTGCTCTCATTCTAGGTTTTAAAGGATCATTTTACAAATTGGTCCAGTGTGCAAGACTGTTGTGCTGATGCTCAAATGTAATAATTTATAAGTATACCAAAGAAAAAAAACGTGTCCCTTGGACAATTAGAGCAAAGTATGAGGAAAAAGAAAGAAAATCATTATAAGAATATTCTTATTTATCTATTTACTATTGCAGTGTACTTTATATCAATCTGAACTTTTAAATTTTATAAGAATATACAAATCCAGTGTATATAAAAAAAATCTACTTTCTACAACTTGTTTGACATTTGTTTGTATATATTTGAGGTAACACATATATAGACCATAAAAATAATCTCCATCAGACTTAACTATAAATGTACTTAAAATGTACTTACAGTGTTACAATATCAGCATTGGCAGCATTGACTGCTATCTTTAGAGGATCCTATAGGAAAGAGAAATATAAAAGAAGGCTCACATCAAATAATATATCAACCAAACATTCCATACATAATCATCACATCAATATAACAATCGAGTATAAAGTCCAGACAAAATGATTGCCAGTGTTTTTATAGGTGCTATAACTGACCTGTCCACTGTCATCCTCAGCATGTAAATCTGCTCCTCTCTTCAGGAACTGACAAACTTGTCTATAAAAAAAATCTATTTCATAAAAAACTGATTCACGAGGTTAAAAAAAGGTAAAATAAATGAAATCTCAGGTTGCATGGGAGTAGTTTTGTATGAGTTTGGTTCTTTGAGAAATGCCCTATCCTTACCCTGTGTGTCCTTTGATAGTGGCATGGTGGAGAGGGGTTCTCCCTTTCTTGTCTTTGCGATCAACTTTAGCACCATTCAACAACAAAAATTCAGTTACTGTTAAAGAACCCTGCAGATATGAACATAGAATGAAAAAAATGATCCCTGACAATTAGAATTCAAAACATAAGAATTCAAAACATAAGGACATCATCTGATACATATTCGCTGTTTTCCTTTTTTTAGAATAACAGATTACAGGTTCATGTTGACAACTTCTACAGTAAAACACATAACAAAACTATTATACACAATTTTTTGTCTACATGGTCACATTTTTTATGATGTGCTATAGTGAATAAAAAATATCCCAGGAAGTTCATAAGAAGCATGTTTTCCTTCATATACCTGAACATCCTGACTAAGTGTCTACAGCTTTCTAATGTTTCAACTTACAGTATCTACAGCTTTTCAGACATTCCCATTTAAAGTGTCTAAAACTTTCTGACATTCCCACTTATAATTAAGTGTCCACAGCTTTCTGGCATTCCCACTTACAGTGTTTACAGGTTTTTAGACATTCCCACATACAGTGTTTACAGCTTTCTGTCATTCCCACTTACAGTGTCTACAGCTTTGATTTAACATTCCCACTCACAGTACTTACAGTTTTCTGACATTCCCACTCATGGTACCTACAGTTTTCTGACATTCCCACTCACAGAGTCTACAGCTTTGTTCTAACATTCCCACTCACAGTGTCTACATTTTTTGACATTTCACAAGTCTACAGCTTTGTTCTAACATTCCCACTCACAGTGTCTACAGCTTTCTGACATTCCCACTCACAGAGTCTACAGCTTTGTTCTAACATTCCCACTCACAGTGTCTACAGCTTTCTGACATTCCCACTCACAGCGTCTACAGCTTTGTTCTAACATTCCCACTCACAGTGTCTACAGCTTTCTGACATTCCCACTCACAGTGTCTACAGCTTTGTTCTAACATTCCCACTCACAGTGTCTACAGCTTTCTGACATTCTAACTAATAGTGTCTACAGCTTTCTGACATTGTAACATGCAGTGTCTACAGATTTCTGACATTCCCACTGACAGTGTCTACAGCTTTCTGACATTCCCACTTACAGTGTCTACAGCTTTCTGACATTCTAACTTTCAGTGTCTACAGCTTTCTGACATTCCCACTTACAATGTCTACAGCTTTCTGACATTCCCACTTACAATGTTTATAGCTTTTTGACATTCCCACTTATAGGTCTACAGCTTTCTGACATTTCCACTGACAATGTCTACAGCTTTCTGACATTCCCACTTACAGCGTCTACAGCTTTCTGACATTCCCACTTATAGTGTCTACAGCTTTCTGACATTCCCACATACAATGTTTACAGCTTTGTTCTAACATTCTCATTCACAGTGTCTACAGCTTTCTGACATTCTAACTTACAGTGTTTACAGCTTTCTGACATTCTAGCTTACAGTGTCTACAGTTTTTTGATATTCCCACTTACAGTGCCTACAGTTCTTACATTTTAACTTACAGTGTCTACAGTTTTCTGACATTGTAACTTACAGTGTCTACAGCTTTCATTAGGGGTGTCTTTCCCTCATCGTCCTGGTTGACCCAGTTCGGGTCAGCTCTGTTTGCCAGGGCCTCTAACATGACGGGGAGGTTGCGGGCCTGGGCTGCCTTATACAGCAGCAGATTGGGGTCCAATTTACTCATGTCCTCCCATGAAGTCGTAGAAGTTGTGTCATCTCCATCTTCTAAATCTGATCCCTCTGAACTCTCAATGTCTATACCTGGAAATTTGTTTGTAAAAGATTGAACTCTTAATAAGTTGAGACTTATTTTGACCAATTCAAAAGCTACAAGAAAGGTTGTTGTGTGTGAAGTACAACTTCTTAATATGTTATTTACACTATGAGAAAACTTTCTAAGATTTTGGGCAGTTACTCCGATTTTTACTCAAAGAAAAAGACCAGCATACATCTAACAAGAGGCCCATGGGCCTTATAGGTCCCCTGAGCATCATGCAACAACTTTCAAGTGATTGAATTTGGTTCATGTTTTAAGCCAGATGCTATGGCATTCACAATTTTGAAAGAGGCACCATTGATCATCATAACTATATACTTTGCAGTTGCTTAGTCTGGTAACTTAATACCCATAGGCAGGGTAGGGGAACAAAAAATACATTTCAACTAATCATTAATATTCACAATAATAAGTAGTGTCCCATACCACACATGAACCCCTGAACTTAGGTCCACACAATACACAATTTTTGAAAAGGCACCCTTGCTTATCAAAAATATTTCATTAATACCAAGGAGCAGATTTCAAACAATTCATTCATTTTCAGTATATAAGTAGAGCCCCAGCTCCATATGGTACCCCTGACCCTGGGGCCTTGAAATTCACAATTCTGGAAGAAGGGCCCTTGCTCATCACAACTATAAAGGTAGTTCATCTGCTTAATACCCAGGAAGAGAGAAAAAAAATTTCAAAGAATTCATGTATTTTCACTATATAATCAATAGAGCACCACCCTATCACCAGAACCCCTGACCATGGGGCCATAAAATTCAAAATTTAGGAAGAGGCTCTCTTGCTCATCATAACTATGTACTTAGTTAGTTTATTGAATACCCAAGAGCAGAAAAAAAGATTTTCAAAGAATTAATGTATTTTCACTACATAATCTATATAGCCCCGCCCTGCCACTAGAACCCCTGACCCTGGGGGCATAAAATTCTCAATTTTGGTAGAGGCACTCTTGTTTATCATAACTATGTACTTAGTTAGTTTATTTAATACCTAGGAGCAGAGAAGAAGATTTTTAAAGAAACAATTCATTTTCACTATATAATCTATATAGCCCCGCCCTGCCACTAGAACTTCTGACCCTGGGGCCATAAAATTCACAATTTTGGTAGAGGCACTCTTGCTCATCATAATTATGTACCAAGTTAGTTTATTTAATACCCAGGAGCAGAGAAGAAGATTTTCAAAGAAATAATGCATTTTCACTATACAGTAAAACTCGGTTATAACGAAGTCGCTGGGACCTCTGAAATTACTTTGCTATATCCGTAATTCATTATATCGGTATTAGGAATTCGTTAAATTTATATAGCTGGGGATCCAAAATAACTTTGCTATATCGGAACAATAGTTCAAAAGTTACTGTATACTCATTTTAGCCCCGCCCTAGCACTAGAATCCCTGACCCCAGGGCCTTGAATTTCACAATTTTGTGTGTGATTACAATACAAACAGTTTGACTGCTTGAAGGAGTAAAGAAGATTTTTAAAGATTGCATTAATTTTACAACTGTGGGGGGGGGGGCAGGGAGAAATTCACAATTTTTGTTCCACTTCACCCATAGATGCTTTATGCCAAATTTGGTTGAAATTGGTTCAGTGGTTTCAGAGAAGAAGCTGAAAATGTTCAAATGTTAATGCACAACGCATGATGACAAACGAAAAACAGATAGCAATAGGTCACCTGAGTTTTACTCAGGTGACCTAAAAAGTACATCTGATATTTGGTTTTAAAGACAAATGTATCTTGAAAAATTGAAAACGTAATTTTCAGCATCTTTTGAAATAAAGTCTTATTAGTTCTGACATTATCATAAGGCATGACTTAAACAATTATGGAAAGATGCTTAAATCATAATAAATGTCAGTTAAAATTTAGACAAAAGCCTTGAAGAATATACCTAATATATGCTAGTTAAAAAATTTGATTTCCTACTGTGAACCCTAAAATCATGCTTCCAACATGTTTGATCTTACAATACATATGGACAAAGCATATCAATTTATTTACTGGAGAATTGTTGTTCTATTAAAGAGTGTATTCTATATAAACTTTCTAATCTTTACTGCATTATCCTGATCCAGGGGTTACAATATAAACCTACTGTATAAAACAAAGCCTTAACTTGTTTAGTCATTCCTACGAAAGAAAATATATAGAAGGAAATGAAAGACTTTCCCATTTTCACTAATTTTTAAAATTACTTCCCTTTTTAGAAAAAAAAAAAACAAATTGAAGTCACCTTTACTAGTGAAGCTTTGAACAAAATTTATTAAAAATTACAAGCTCAGTAATACTGGAATTTCAAAATCTGAACACACATGTAGATTACAATAGATGCCAAACAGACTGAACTTCAAATAAAATAGCTCACTTCTGCTATTGTTGCAGGTTAGCTAAAACAAAACTTTTCATAATAAAAAGATCTAGTGTGCTTACTTCTTCCAATATTTTCTATTTCCTTTCCAAACACAATAACGTCAGCACTGACACCCAGCCCACTGTCACTATCCCGGCCGCTGTTATTGGATACCGATAAAACAGCTACAAAAAAGATAGAAAAACAGTCTGATTAACCAGAAAACATGTACTACACTCTCACAAACTTAACCAGGGAATTTAATTGGCCCTTTTCTGGGTGTACATGAGTATTCTCACTGTATTTTAAAGTCTACTTGACATTTAAAGTTTTGACAAAATCAAAGAATTAATCAAATGAATGTAGGTGGCCAAAACCTCATTAATATTCTAATTGATCTCGTTTCTATTGAATATAGTAGCAGAAGCGAAAAAAGAGAAAATAACGTTTTTTTCTTAAAATGTACCAGTCAAGTTCTGTATGATAAATTGAATGATCATTAAACACATGCAAGTATGGTACTTTTTACATAGATCATATCTTATAAGCTCTCCTTTTAGGATAATACAAACCAGCCAATAGACTTGCTGTGATATTTAAAAGAAAAATTTAAGCATAGGGTAAAATGCATAAACATGCTTAGAAAAAAACTTAAAATTACATAAATTTTCAACTTGGTACATTGCAATAAATATTAACTGTTGGGTCAAAGGTTAACAAATGTATATATCAAAACATAATCTTAAAATTTGAGTGTGGATTTTAGAGGACAATTGTGAGATATGGTATGGTTAAATATGATGGGTGACCTTATTAATAATGAGAATATTTCGCCAGACAATATATAATTATAGTGTATTCTGATGTTGTTTTTTTTCATACAATAAATGGTCAGAAATACTCTTTTTATTACAATTTTTTTTTCAAGATTTATATCTGGGAGATTTGTTTAGTTTATGCTAGTGTGTCACATTATTGTTAAGGGTTAGTATGAAATATCAAAAGGCAGGAAATATGTTAGTACTGCAAAGATTTAAGTACTGATGTTCACAGAGTTGGTAATCTGGAAGTGCATTCACATAGGGGTATTTCTTTTTTCAAAAATAACCATCATATTAAAGAAGCTACTTGGACTCTCCATAAAATAGTATGTTATATCAATTTATGTACCAGTAATAAAGGTTCAATTTAATTTTAAGAATAAAACCTGTAAAAATGAACAAGAATGTCTGCTTATAATTTGGTAAACTAAAAATTCTATAGCTAGCATAGTTTTCTACTTGTATTTAACCAATTTATATTAAGTATGTAAGTATAGATCTACATAACCTTTGATTTATTTATATTTTCTACTTCCAGTGCACCTCTTTGTTCATATTCTCAATCAGAAAAATTGGTAATTAATAATTTGTATTTTGTTACAGCTGTCAATTATGTTAACACTGCACAAATTAATCCAAACTAAATTACTTCCCTTTTTCCATTAATTGAAAAACAACAAATTCATTTATTGTCAAAGTTGTCTCCCTTTTATAAATGATCTTGTGCAGTAGAAACAGTAAATGTGCTGTATACAAACATTTGGAAGATGCACCAGTATCAGCAGATAAAAGCTTGATGCTTACCTCCCTCTACAGGGGCTGCAAAAGTCCCATACATTTTATCAAACATCATAATCATAACAGATTTAGCAACTATAGAAGCTCTTTTGCATCATGTACATAGGCCATTTTGTATAGAAACACTTATTACAGCTTGATATATTTGGCCCATCTTGTATTGCAAAAAACACTCTTTTAACAAAAAGTACAAAAGTTTCACTTACTAACAATGATAACAAGATGGTCCAAATTTTGGAGAATATTCTATTTACACATATCAAAGCTATGTATTTGTATAAATTAAGCTCTTGTTATCCTTATACCTTGTATGTGTATATGATTATATGATGCAGCGGTAATTCTTTTTCTTTTCTTTTTTTTTTTTTGCGTTTTCATTTGCGAAAGCAAAATGACTGTCAAAGAACATGGGTCTGAAAAACATGCAACTTTGAAATGTATGGGAATTTCAAAATGAAACTTCAAAAGATTTTTTGAGGAGAGAATTAGAACAAATTCTACATACAGTCAAAATGCAATCACAAAAAAAACTTTTTGGGTACCTTTTTTAGTCTCATGAAAATAAATTTGTGCTTATAGGTAATCATAGCATTACACAACACCAACATTCAAGGTCAGGTCATGAGGTCAAGGTCATACCTTCCATGATTCCGCTGGTGAGATCTGAGTCCTCCTCGGAGTTATCGTGAGAGTTGGCGACATCTCGCGAGGGGGATCGCTTAGGTTTCCGCCGGACACTCCAACCTTTGACCTTATTTGAGGATTTTGGTCCAGGTAATTTGCTTACAAATGCCTTGTCTAAGTATTTTGCACGTATAAATGATTCTCGGATTGATCTGTTTAGTAAAACATATGGCATCTGATTATACATCGGTATACGTGACATGATTAAAAATCTTGTTTATCAAAATGTAAAATATAGATAAGATTAGGTAAGCTTATTCCATATATAAATTATTATTATACTTAAGTGTAACTTTATGTGTGACAATATACCGATACAATGATACCAGAAAATACCGAAAAAGAATGAAACACTAGCAACAGAGATAGCATAGTGCAAAAAGTTCATGTTTTCACTCCTTGTCTGTTGAAGTTCTGCTTCATGTGGTTACAGAAAAATAAAGCATCTACATGGAGCCATAAAACTCTTTAAATAAGCATTCTCTTAACTTTGAGATTATAGATTATTTAATCTATGCCAGCTATCAAAATACTGGGATAGACATACAATAAACACAAATCTGTATGATGTCCATTATATGGATTAAGACATGGCTGATGTTAGTGATAGGGCCTGATAGATAGAGATATAAGTCCCTGTACAAACCTGTTACATTCAGGCGTGGCCTTTACTGCCACCGCATCATTCAAATTAGCTTCGTAAATTCTGTTTACGTTATCGTTCCCTAATTCTGCCATGACTTTTAACAGCTCTGGATCCCATGAATCTAGTGTAATGGAGCGCACTTTTGACATGTGAACACCAAAACTCCTGTTAAAAAAAACATCAACAAACACTAAAATTCCCATTCACAAAAACTGATTAAGCAATAAACTAAATCCCCCAACATCTGAGGCAAAGGAATTAATTTTACGAAGGTTGCAAATTTTTTTAGAAAACAAAAGTTCGAGAGTACACAAACCTGTGTATGCCAGAGCACTCGATACATAGAGTGGCCCCCAGATTGATGGAGGCCCAGCGTGGTTCTGGGGACCCACAGTCACAACAATGACTGTTACCTGGGATAGCAGTTAACTGGTCCATCCTCCTATAACACAACAGGAGAAAAATAGAGAGTACAGAAACAATTTCTTTTTCAAATCAAACTGTAGCTACAAATATTTTTTTACAATCCATTTACATCATAAACATGTGTCAATGGGATGTCATTTAATGAAAACAGTTTTTTTTATCTTCAAAATACATAATTTTCAAGTTCTTATCAATTATTTATTAAACTTACATTATCCTGAAACATGTTTTTTTAAACAAATTGCTCTGAAAGGAAAACTTACTGTTGAGCTTTGCTGGGCTGTTTTTGCTGAGAGTCAGGGGTGGATGTAAGATTTGGACTGGAGGGGACGGAAGAATTCCCCTGTAAGGGCTCATCTGTGTCCTGTACACAAAAACAAATCTTGTGTATTATCTACAAAACTCCAGTATATGAATAAATTCTTATTTATCAAATGGCTCAATAATCATGTGACTCACATACATACTCAATCACATTTTCATATTTCTTTCTCTAACATGCAAAAATTAAAGCTGAACTGACTCGTAAATTAAGCATACACCATAAAGAAGTCATATTGTCAAAATCAAATCTTTCATAAAGACAACAGAACAGATGTCAGGCAATTTGAGTGAAGAGAAATACAATGAACTCTGAACAAAACTGAGGCTTATATAGTGGCTTGAGAATGACAGTCTACGGGAATACTAATATGGCAGACAAAGACAACTCTTTTTTCCTTTAACAAATCTGTTCAGCTTAAAATCCAAAGAAAAAACATGGTACAAGAAGGCAAAAATGCAATTTTACAAAATTATAGCAGATAACTTTTTATTTTTATCTGGAGGCTATTTCAAAGGTAACCATTTCTTTCATTTTGGAGTCTAGACCGAGTCCAGTACTAACCAGTGAGTGACTCCTGTGTTCCATGGCTTTGTAAGCTTTGGTGATGGCTGTCTGGATATTGTTCAACCAAAACTGAAGGTTCTGATCCGATTCAGCTTGTAACATGTGAGATCTGAAGATAGCAGTTAAAATTAGATACCCTGCCATTTAGTTTTACTCCCAAAAATATGTATACAAAACCTATTATACCTAGAATTACTTCCTATTCAAATTACCAAATTCGTCAACACAAATATAAAATAATTTTAACAAACAGAACGAAAACTTTCAGTAGTAGCTCTCAACTTCTGAATTACAAATAGCATAACTTACTCCTACCACATAAATGGTCTCTTAGTGCTGTCTACCTTCAAATTCTTGTAATACATGTTATGTGAGCATTTGGTATATTTACCTAGTGGGAGAAAGCACCTCAAAGCAGAACCTTCGGTCCGTCTCGTACACCAGTTTGACAGTACACAGTCTGATGTCCTCCTCCATTATTGAGTATTCTCGTGATCCCCGCTTCATGTATAACAACTGACTATTCTCTATAGTGAACCATCTCCTGTAAAACATGAAAAGAAAATTAGACAGTGCATGTATGCATGTATTTTTGCATCATAATACTTTTCTATAACACAATTCTTTTTCTAAAAAGTTACTCCCTATTCATTGTGGTCTTCTCTGGCCATTTATGCTATACTAGAACACATGTTAACCAGAATCTATGTTTGTGATTGATATGTCATTTAAAACTGAAGTTCAACAGCTGGTTTCTCTTCACTTAATGATGCCTTGTTTTAAATTTGATTAAAAAAACATCTTGAGTAGAAGAAAATATGAAATAATAGATAAATAGATTGAAAACAGACAAGTTTTCATTAAGTGTGCTACTTCAAATTGCTGTCTGAGTAAATTTTGTTGATAAAAGACACAGCTTTTACAAGAGTTAATTTCTAAAAAAAATAATATTCAGTGCTAAGCTATGATTATTAGGATAATAACCATAGTGTAGTGGTTGTAAATGAAGCCTACCAATTACTATAGCAGTTCTTTTTTCTTCTGATTTTGGATACATATGAATTTTTGCTAGATTGTATGAAATTTTTCTATTTTGTGTTTATTCATTTCAGACTGCTTCTTTTGAGTAAGCTCACTTGATGATGGATTCATTGATTGTGCTGATTCTTATATTAATTGGCAAATAAACCCACCTAAATCAGTTCTCTAAGTAAATTCACTTGACCCAGGATTTGATACCTTTACTGTTTTTTTAGTAAACTCACTTGACCCAGGATTTGATACCTTTACTGTTCTTTTTTTAGTAAACTCACTTGACCCAGGATTTAATACCTTTACTGTTTTTTTTCAGGATTTGATACCTTTACTGTTTTTTTAAGTAAACTCATTTGACCCAGGATTTGATACCTTTACTGTTTTTTTTTTTAGTAAACTCACTTGAACCAGGATTTGTAATAGTTACATGATGACACGAGATGATGCATACAAAATATCGTTGAGTTATTGCACGCGAGGAGGCGTTAGCCTCCGAGTTTGCAATAACGAAACGATATTTTGTATGCATCATCGAGCTGTCAATCATGTAACTGATTTATCCCATGACCCTTCATTTGACCTTTTCCCATATTTGGTATTTTCTTTACATCAACTAATAAAGACTCTGAAACAGAACCACGTGATAGTCTTAACGCGAAGGGTTTTTGGTATCCAAGTAACAGATTTACAAATTTGGTAATTTTCATAGTACGGTAACACGTGATCAATTCCTTGAGATAATCAATTCATTTGTTCTATGATCTGGCGAAAATGGCAGAAGGGGTTTAAATCGTCGTTTCTCAGCAAGCCTACGATGAGGATAATTTTCAATCGAGTCAAGCAGTTCAGATGTGTGAACTCGGGCGATCGGATTTAAATGGCCCATAGGGCCAGGACTTTATGAATTTCGATTTACAGTTTCCGGAATTGAAACGGGAAAATTTTACGGAATGGACTGAAAATACTAGATTCGGAAAACATGTGTCGGCCATTGAAATAAGTGCGCTTAAAAAATCAAGAAAGTTAACACTTCATTCAACATGGTTCAAAACTGGTCTGCAAAACAGCAAGGATTTAAATCACTAGTAAATACCAAGAACTTGCGTACTTTATATATCACGTTTTGTACACTGTAATTGAAGCCAGGTGCGCATATGGATTCCCCTACCCCGAGGACTTTATATCCGATCTGTTCCGATATTCTACGGTACATGAGAGCAAGGTGTTCATTATATGAACTTTTCAGAGGATGCCGGGAAGGAAAATGCTTCTATTGAATGTGCGAATTCCTATCATGGGAGATGAAGTTATCCATTTCGAGAATTATGCTCCGCCAGACCGTGTCGATGTCTTTTTTGTAAAGATTTGTGCATTTTGATTTAAACTGTGTTATCTGTTTTGTTTTGTTTTTCTCTTGTTTTTGTCAGTTCATTAAAATCTAGAAACGAATTTTTGTCTCATTTGCATAGCTCCTCCTACATCCGGGGTATAACAGTTGGATATCACTAGCTTTATATCACATGTGTGATATTTAATATATCACCACACTTGTGTTGATATGAGAAATACACCCTTGCGAAGATCAAAGAAAAAATTGTCGGTCATGGGATAAGATGACTTTACTGTTCTTTTTTTTACCCAGGATTTATAACCTTAACTGGTTCTCTCTAGTAAACTCATCTGGCTGAAGATTTAAAATCTTCATTGTTTTCTTGAGTTAACTCACCTGACCAAGGATTTAAAACCTTTACTGGTTCCCTTGAGCAAACTAACCTGGACCCAGGATTTAAATCCTTTACTGGTTCTCTTGAATAAACTCACCTGACCAAGGATTTAAATCCTTTACTGGTTCTCTTGAGTAAACTCACCTGGACCCAGGATTTAAATCCTTTACTGGTTCTCTTGAGTAAATCACCTGGACCCAGGATTTAAATCATTTACTGGTTCCCTTAGTAAACTCACCTGACCCAGGATTTAAAACCTTCACTGTTTCTCGGGTAAACATACTTGACCCTTGAATTAAAACCTTTGCTGTTTCTCGAGTAAACTCACCTGACCCAGGATTTAAATCCTTTACTGGTTCTTTTGAGCAAATAACCTTCCATTGGTGATTCCTCTCCTTCTACATCTGAAGGCTCCTGGAAATACAAAATATCTGATACATGTATCATCTAAGGTGATGTTAAGTTACTTTCTACTGTACAAGACCAGCTTTGATATTGCTATATCTGATAAAATGCCCATGTATACCTTGATCTACCAAAACCTCTCACTCTAAAATATAAGAGGACAATTCTATTTTCAAAGTCAAATGTATATACTGTACGAGGGTTGTCCCGTAAAATCGTGGACAAGTTGTCTAGTGTGAAAAATAAACATCACTGCGTTCTGAAATTTTCACTATTATTTAGTACATATTTTAATAATATACAGAGCAAATTTCAGATAAATATATGCATAAATAAACAAATTATGAGATTTTATGCCATGTATTATATCATCTTACGGCGCATGGATTATAACGTCAAAGTGTCTAAAACAGCGTCACGTTTTATCTTTGCTGAAAATGAAGTTGGATGAGTCCGACTTAAATTTAGGAATTTCATTGATACACATTCTTTAGTGTCCATAAACAGTCGAAGAACCAATTGGCACCCTCATGCGATCTTTGAAGATTTATCAGTAAGTTACGGACAATATTCTCACCATCATTCAACTAATAGAAAATCTCATATCGGCGGTCTACTGTGACAGCGTCTTTTGTTATTACAAAAAAAACTTCGCTAAGAAAACTCCTATTTCATTTGTATACTTAAGATATGGTGATAATTTTACAATCTTTTTTCTTCTATGGTCATTTCAAGTCTCTAAAGGTGTCATTACAACATCGAAATAAAACTGAACTGTTCTCCGGTGCGCCGTAACGTCATAAAACGTCGCCATTTTTCGTGTGTTTTGTTTACCACTTTCCCATTTCGAATGCTCGAGAAATTGCCAAAAATTAAGCAAATGCCTTAAAATTTTTTATAAAGACTACAAAATTGATTGTGGAATTGAATTAGGATAATTTTAATCCAAATCTCATGTATTTAAAACTTTTATTTTGAATTCAGACTTGTGTATTCTTTGATAAAACCTTGGTAGGACAATACCTCGTGCACATTCAAGCATAATAAAATCTTTATTTTTGCCTATATTTTATCAAAAAAATTATCATGCACTTAAATATGATAAATAAACATTTACTAAAATTTTCAGCTTAGTGCGCCCATTACTTTTCGAGAAAAACGCTTTGTCCACGATTTTACGGGACAACCCTCGTAGAAGTACTTTTTTCCGCGTGATATTAATTTACGCTATGTACGCGGTCAGAAATTTTCCACGGAAATTTGTCCAAGTGTACTTAATATAAATGTAAGGCATATAGTGACAATCTAGAATAGTCAAACCCCGTGGAAAAAAGTACGTCTACAGTATACTATTTACAAAAACTTCTCACTTTCATATTCAAATTGAATAACACTGGTGAGAAGTATAAACTGAAGTACAGTTAATTTTTCTTTGTCATTGATACAGTAATAAATCATTATTTCATGAGATTATTTTGATAAAATATCCCCATTAACATAATCAAACTGAGGTTGAATAAATAAAAGTCAAACTGAAGTTGAATAATTAAAAATCAAACTGAAGTTGAATAATTAATCAATCACAATGAAGTTGAACAATTAATCAATCAGTCAAACTGTCAAATCAGGAATAATAGTTTATCAATCACATGAAGTTGAATAACTAATCAATCAAACTGAGGTTGATTAATTAATCAATCAAATTGAAGTTTAATAAATCAATCACAAATAAAGTTGAGTAATTAATCAATCATGAAGTTGAATAATTAAGGACCCTCTCTACACAAGTGCAAATATTTTTTTGGACAATGAGAAAATTATATTGTATAAAGTAGTTAATATTGAGCTTATTTATTTAATTTTCACTATATGGTGCGTGGCATTTGCCCCCAGGAAAAATGTTCAAAGACAAGACAGTATCAGTGAATAGAAATCACTGTTAATTACTTCAATAGAGAAAATACATGAAAATAACACGTTCAGTTAATTTATCTTGGTCTTTTGAAATGTTAAGAATACTTGAATTAATTACAAATTGAGTAATATATTGTAAATTTTTATTTTTTAGAATTTAGATCTAAGGGCAGATCACTCTAACTGAAAAATACCTTAGAATCAGAACTCTTTAGTGTGCAGTGTAGAGAGGGTTCTTAATCAATCACAATGAAGTTGAATAATTCATCATTCAAAATGAATTTGAATAATTAATCAAACAAACTGAGGTTGAATAATTAATCAATCAAACTGAAGTTCAATAATTAATCAATCAAACTGAGGTTGAATAATTAATCAATCAAACGGAGGTTGAATAATTAATCAATCAAACTGAGGTTGAATAATTAATAAATCAAACTGAAGTTGAATAATTAATCAAACAAACTGGGGTTGAATAATTAATCAATCAAACTGAGGTTGAATAATTAATCAATCAAACTGAGGTTGAATATTTAATCAATCAAACTGAGGTTGAATAATTAATCAAACAAACTGAAGTTGAATAATTAAACAAACAAACTGAGGTTGAATAATTAATCAATCAAACGGAGGTTGAATAATTAATCAAACAAACTGAAGTTGAATAATTAATCAAACAAACTGAAGTTGAATAATTAATCAATCAAACTGAAGTTGAATAATTAATCAATCAAACTGAGGTTGAATAATTAATCAATCAAACAGAGGTTGAATGATTAATCAGAAGTTGAATAATTAATCAAACAAACTGGGGTTGAATAATTAATCAATCAAACGGAGGTTGAATAATTAATCAATCAAACTGAAGTTGAATAATTAATCACAAACTGAGGTTGAATAATTAATAAATCAAACTAAAGTTGAATAATTAATCAAACTGAAGTTGAAAAAGGACAATACAAGATAAGAATATTCACAGTTCATGTTCTTGGAAGAAAAAATGGTTAACTGTGGAACCTCTGAAAATACATTATTTGATACAGTTGTTCTTTGTAATGGCATCTGAAAATGATACTTTGACATCCCTTAGCCTCTTTTCTTACAATATTGCAGCTCAGCACTATTTCACATGTTTTACTTTACAAATCAGTCCCATCTCTATCGACACTGTCAGTAAAACACTGCTGTTATTAATGGCACCCCTGTTAACCTGTCTTCATATCACATGTTTTGTATACAATAAATTACCAACAACAAGCATGAAATGCATATGCTTGACAGAAGTAGCCATATCCCAGCCTGATTGTTAATTGATCTTGACCTCTCTATGACAAATGTAAATTCTGTGCTATATGCCAACACCAATAACCCCAATACCAATCTGCTACCAACTATCTAAGACAAACAGGGTCTTTATGAGAAAGATTGCTGCTGGCCGATTTAACCTCCCTTATTATCTAGGCATAAAATCTAATGGGAGAATCAATGAAACTGATTGGGGAATTATCTTGGGTACTTGTTTTTAGCTTGTAGATGACCAATCTAATCACCATTCTTCATAAAGTTCACAACATGTGGTTCTTGTCATAATATCACCAGAATGTTCCAACATTCTCCAAGAAACAAGTCTATTCACCACCAAGCTTTGTATTTCTAGTTGTAAAATACCATAAGAATTTCTAAGAGATTGTAAAACTGTCTTAGCTGATAACAAATTCTGTAAATTTATTTTATTTGGTGTGTACAATATTTCGTGGAAATTAACTTATTGCAAGTATCCATAGATTTAACATAGACATACATGCTTAAAACTTTTATAGTGATGTTCTTGGTTTAGAGGAGGTTGCTGTCTGCAAAAGGTGCTAAAAAGAGTACACAGCTAAATTATGTAATACATTATCAGTATATGACAGATGATTAATTTTCATTTTGTCATAATCTTTGGTTTCCAAATTTTCAAACTTTTCATTTTCTTGTATAAAAATGTAGGAATTAAGTACACAGTCAGACATCAAGGTAGCCAGTAGCCGTCAGCTTTAGGCTGCTAAAATGCTTCATGGTCTAGAGACCTGGGTTCAATTTTCATTCAGTCCCCAAGGCATTGGGGAAAACGAGGTCCTATGCCTTGCATGAGCAGGCATTGGTCAGATAAAGAACCCTTACTGCTCATTAGCCCTGAGTACTGAGTTTATAGATCCAAATTTGAAGCCCTTCACTGGCATATGAGTGAACAATTCTGGAATGGGATGTTAATCAAAATAAAATCAATCAATAAAGTTATCAAGTTTAGTTTTTTAATGTTGTTTTGAAATAGTTAAAACGAATCAAATCTAAGCTTATCTTCAGCAATGGTTAATCAAAGCCCTATGATGTGGTTTAACTAATGTGCTTAATTTTCAAAAAAATTGATTTCCAATTTCTGCAAGAGAGAATTATTATTATGACAGAAATACTTCAATTCAATGATCAAAAGTTCAAACTGTTTTCCTTTATTGCTTTTTCTCTATATATTTTAGGTTACAGGTTACATTGAAGTTGAACACTACTGATCATGATTTATCATGATATGGTACAGTCACTGTAACAAACAAACTTATGCCATCTGACTACAAATAATGAAGACTTGACATTACATCTTCAAGAGGAATTGGGGGATTTCTCAAATACTTAACATTTATATGTGGGTGTAAGCATATGTTTTAATCCTTAGAAAAATAAAATTATCAGTAGACCGAGAAAATTGCATAATATTTGTCTGATACTTTACAGCATGAATTTGACAATTAAACTCATGAAATATCGCAGAACAAATTTCATATCGAACAGGTTTTATGATCAGATACAAAATACATGACTAGATGAATCAAGCAATTTGTCAGACCTTGAAAATGTAAGTGCCGTGAAAACAACTGTTATTTTCTATTTTGGATGAAAAAATAAAAGCTCTTCTACCTTATCTATTTCACAATATACATGTAATTATTCCCCCCAAAACAAACCATTAAGACAAAGATCAAATGCAGTCAAACATTACATGAGCTCATGTAACTCATGATCCCCCTCCATTATTTTTAAGATCTATTTTAACCCTGAGAACATCAGAGGATTAAGTTGGATACACTAAACCACTGCCTGCGGGGCTTCCCTGACCCCCCCTGACCCTGGGTCCCTCCCTGTACCTGTGATTATACACATTGGCATGTGGTGGGAGTAGGAACGTCTCTATGTTGAGTGGAGGCATGCAGTAGCAGAGTGCTAATGAGAATGGAACACAGAGATGTATTGTAATCTCTGAACTGGACCGGTAGTTGTGTGGTTACAGACAGCCTTATTGTTAGTTTGTCTTAGGATGTTAGACTCATAGGACATTTAAAAATTTAACAGGTAAGTCAGAAATTTTTAGTGAAATATACAGGTGAAATGAAAAATTATTTTGAAAATTCATTAATTTTTTTATATTATATACTTGAAATATTTCAGTACAGCTTGTATTTTTCCATGGACTAAATTCACTGAAAGATTATATTTTATGGGGTTTTTTGTTGAACACTCTTTCAGGAACAAAAATTTCTGTTCAAAAATATCATTAGTAACAATGACCTTAATTTAAAAAAAAGTATCTAAAAATTATAGTTATTTTAATATCTTCAATTTTTGAAAATTTATTGGGGGGGGGGTTGGGGGGTTGTTTACTGGTAACTCAAAATTACTTTATGCATTCTTGAATACTATTTTGAATTCAATAATCTCTTTGAACAGTTTTTTTCTTGAACAACTCGACACAAAACACAGTCAAAACAATATACAACTAATGTTCATATAAAAAAAAGTGCTCTGTAATTTGTTCATATGAATCAGGTTTTAATTAAAGAAAAGTGTACACAGGCAACTTATCCACATATGATTATCATATGATTGTATATCCATGATTCTCATATGATCCACATATGAGCCTCATATGAAAGGTAACATATGTGGATCATATGTGGCTAAATTGCCTATGTACCATATATTTGAAGCCTAACTAATTTGTAGACTTTGTAAAATTTTAAAATGAAGTTACATTTTGTAATAAGTTTTTGCAGTGGTTTGTCTGTAGAGGGAGGAGTGTCAAATTTAAGGAATGAATCTTTGATCTTTGTTTAAAAAGTATCATCTAGGTGAGAAAAAAAACCTTGTCTGCAGATTTGAAGGCTTATGATATAAAGGTGTTAAGTCAGATTCTCCTGTACTCTGGTGTATTTGATATGTATCTCTGTCCCTACAGCAGGAAAATGCACCTGCAAATGTGCAGTAAATGGCTGCTTTAATTTGTTGCCCCCTTCCCAATAAATAGAAGTACATTATTCATCTTACTAGCACCCTGTAATTTTACCTGAAGGTATTTGGCATGTATTAACTATGTGTTAACTTTGGCTTTATAGAGAAACAATGAATAATGCCACTTTTTAAGTGTATTATGACTAAACTTCAACAAGGGGAATTTTCTTACATAAAACATCATGGAGAAAACTCATAATTTGCCAACCTAAGATACTTTTATGCCAAATAAAAATGTCATATATGTCTGAGAAAGTATCTTGTATCACAGTCTCTCAATAATTACATAATTTTCATCAATAGCTTTTAAGTTTTTCCACCATAAAATTTCAATGCATCATGTTTCCAGGATCATAAGCTGATTCAAAACATTTTAAACCATTCTAATGACTTGTGACTACACACTCAATATTAAAATAGACTGGTTCTGCCAGTCTACCCAATCCTATTCACTTTTGAATAAAATATTGTTAAAATCAAAAATATAACCAAAAGATAAAAAAACTCCTTTGGCAAAATAAAAGCATTGGCATTTATTTCTTCTAATATCCTAGGCAATAAATCTAGACTATATGATACCTCTTTTCAATTTCATAATCACTTTTTACCAAAATCCTATTTTTCAGGGGTTGAAGATCTTACAGCATACATTTAATGACTACAAGTGGGTGGTAGAAATCTACAAATCTGATGATTCATTTTTAGGCATCATATTAATGTCATTATGGAAACCTTATTACAAGCTACCCATATACTTGCTTATAAAAATCATTATCTAGAAAACAAGAAAAGGGTTCTAAAACCATCAACTAAGAACAAATTAGTCCAATTTTAGACTTTCAATATCTTGATTTTAAATTCATGATGGAAAAAATTTGCTTTCTTTACAACAATACTTTTCTCAGTTTATATATAGTCTTGGCAATGAATCACAAAATATTTTCCATAGATACCAGTTAGATAATCTGAAATCTTGACTGATATCATCAATTCTAATTTTCTCAGTGATCTCAAACTCAACTTTATAAGACAGAGTAGAAAAGAAAACTTTGAGATATCCAAGGATTTGAGATAATCAGGGTTAAAATACAATAGAAAAGTGACTGGGACTTTCACTTCGCTTCAACATATCCATGGTATTCAAGATGTTGATGCTACAGATAACAAACTTTAGCTGCATGTTTATAATTAAACAAAGTACATATGAATACAGTTACATCCCACAAAACAATATTTCAGACAAAGGTCAAGGACTCAGTAAAAGCTATAATTCAAATGTGAATACACTGATATGAAAGTAAATTAACAATTATGATAGGTATATAAAAAAATACATATCTTCTCAATTCAAGGTCAAAGGTCAAATGCAAGAGGTTAAAATATTGTGACAAGGTCACCTAAACTTAATCCTAACCTTGAATCATTTAAAAGTCAAAGGTCAGCACTAAGATCAAATCCTGCAATTGGATTTGCTATCCATTTAGCCCTGTTTAATTTGACCATTTACGTTTATCCTGAAGAACTCATACAGAAAAGCAGTAATTCATCAAGAATTCATCATTCTAAAAAGTCAATTATTCTGCAAATTGTTCAGTGCTGAGTCAGCAGTGTGTTGTTTATGTGAAAAGCTTTGAAATGGAGGAATCCTATATACAAGACTGACTTATTTACATTGTTTACCCACCTGCCCTCATACCAGAGAAGGCAAAGGGGGGTTAATGTAAACACAGACCCCTATATACGATGATAGACTCCCATTTTAGACCTAGTCCCTCAATAGTGTATGTCCTGTCTGGGTCAATGTAATTTATAATTAATTTATAAATAAAACAAAAATATTATAGAAGCTATTAACTTTCCACAGATTCTTTTTTACCCTGACATATACAGTGTACTTTTATTTGCCATTTTTAACAATTAGTTTGGTAAAGGATGTTGAGAAGGTCCCAATGATTTTAGACTAAAATCATTTGATCATAAAAGAAAAATCATATTTTTTTCTATTATCTCACAAGAGACTATTACAACTCATTTTCTTCACAGCATCCTTTGAAGCATCCCCACTCAGACAATATCAGATATGATCAAATAATAGTTTAGGCCGTAAACATCAAATAACCCCTCACTAATCCAGTAATCCAAAAACAAAAACACACAGGAGAATGAATAAAATTTTATACTTCTATATCGAAGCAAGATTGTGCAGTTTATTTCCTGAGAGACATAATTTTGTAGTGGCTCATAAGAGTTAATGGTAATTTTTAAGTGAATCACTCATTCTTAATTGAAGGTTTGATGACAACCACACAATATATATTGGTACTCCGAGTTGAGTCAGTATATAAGTATGATTTCATACCTAAACAATCTGAAACACTTTTAGTGCCAAATTTTGAAGCATAAGTGAAAAAAGGGCTTAGATGTATGTATTCTCTTATACAAGAAGAGAGCTCAGGGAAATTATGGCTCAGGTTGAATGTTCTCTGTAGCTAATATCTTGGAGTAACGTATGCAGTTTTATGATGATGTTCAAAATTGAACGGCGAAGTGCAGTAGGTGCAATCTTGTTATCAGTGAGCACAATACGCTGAAATTCTCACCGAACTTTGAATCTGCTCATTCAGTGGTGAGACAGAAATTCCAGCGATTACTATGAAATAAAGCACAAAATTCCTGTCCCTCAAGTTTTATACCAAAGTTCTGAGTTAAGCCTATCTCAAGCAATGGCCCCTGGGTCATTCAAACCTGGCCTAAGATGGTTCATCTCCCAATCAGTCGGGGATGATAGCTGTACTTGTTGATTTTGACACTTTAATTAAGCATTCTTTCTCACTTCTGCTCTACACAGACTTCCTTTCACCAGAAAACTAATTAAGCACATCTCGATACCCCCCAAGATGAAACTGTATATATTTCAATTGCGAAATCTGTCTGAGTTAATACATTGAACTACAATATTGTAAAAAAAAAGTTTCATATCTACTTAGCAGCACATTAAATTTTAAAAGACTGTGTCACGATATATCACTGAAATAGGAAGGAAAATTGAAAATTGCTATACATGTACCATTCTTCAATATCCATGAATTCAGAACAATTTGCACAATTTTGTCCAAATTTTCCATTATAGTCATGCATTGAAAAAAAAGTTGGTCATTACTATTGGTCATTATTTTAAGCAAGTAAAACATATTTTCTCTGTCCTATCATACAAGGTAAATCTACCACTCATAAAACCTAGCTAGGCTGGGGAGAAGGATTTCCTATTCATCCTGGCATTAGAAGCTGTTAAATATGCTCCATAATCTTTCTGAAGGTTTCGTGAAGAATGTTTACTATTCTATATCATACAAAAATTTCTTGCCATAAAAAAACAAGGTGAAAATCTTTTACTTTCTATTAAAAATGTTAACTATGAAAATTCAATTCAAAAAGTTTTAAATAAAAGTTATGCCACTTGAAAAAATGTTAAAATCCATATCCTAGGTTTATCAAATAAATAAACTAAACTATTATTATAAAACAAATAATATAAAGAAAACTCCATTTTGCAAACTAAGACAAAACTGCCAGAAGCAGACTTTCCTCTCTTCTCCTGGGCTTGGCACAAGATCTGTCGGCACTGTCAGAACCTATGATCACAAGCCCTCACTGATACATCTATTTCTAATAACCTTGTGTTTTAGTCATGGCATCATCAACCACCAGAGGCATTCTACACTCAATCAGGCAGGAAAGTAAATAAACTCTACATATCTGATGATTTCACCATTAATCTACAATTTATAGTCAGCCCTGGAATCCATTCTCATCACAAAAAATATATCTGATGAAGTCTGACCCTACATTAGTACTGTAAGAATTTGTAAAGCACTAGACAACTCTGTTTTAGATATCTGTCTGGGTTGGGGATACATATTATTTGACAGGAATTTGTACCAGAAAAAGTTCACTGCAATAACAGTGCATGTACGTATTAAATTATTTACACCAAAGTCATACATGAAAACTTGGGAGGGATGGTTCACATCAATTCTCCATAAAATCTGCCTTATCTTTCCACAGACGTGATCTTTGTTTAAAAGTGGGGGATCTGTCATTAACTTTGATTTACACATTATTACAAAAAATGTTACTATACAAACAATAGCATGTTTACTCAGAGATAGCTGAGAAAGTTCAGCAGGGTGGGTAATGGATTATGAGCAGTACCCCCTGTCAAATGTAATTGATGGTATCGCTAATGCAGCATTGATCTCAGCAGCAAACCAGGCAAAACATGACAGGTTCCTCCATGTTGACCAAAACCTAACCTGACAGGGGAAAAAAAAAGAGCATTTCCACATGCTGTCCATAATGCATTGCAAAAAAAACAAAACTCCAAGATAAATATCCAAGTTCCGAGCTTAAAAAAATATTTCTTTTATATTTGCAGATTTTCAGCTGAGATGTAAAAGAAAAGTTGACAACTAGGAAAGAGCACCTTACAACATGGATTTTTACTTTGCTGCTGTTGTTGTGTTGGCGTCTGCTTTGACTGTACTATCCTGTCCCCCTCAGTGTCAGTCCTGTTCTAGAGGCACCGCTGACTGTCGGAGTAAGGGTCTCAGAGACATTCCAGGGAAATTTCCAAGTGACACAGTTACTATAGACCTCACAGAAAATCAGCTTACAGACATTCAACAGAGTGATTTCCAAGGACTACCTAATGTCCAAAACCTAAGACTTTCCAGAAATGGACTCAGTGCCATAACACCGAGAGCATTTAAAAACTTAGAACAACTTATGAGTCTGGACTTGTCCTTGAATCCAATCACCAGAATTCATGATAAAGCATTCGAAGGTTTATCACATTTAAGGTCTCTGACATTGACCAATACAAAACTTCGCCGAATTGGAAAGCCCTTCAATGAAATCCCAAATATTAGTTCTTTGTACCTTGGCTACAATCAACTTGAACAAATTGAGGAGGATGACTTTGAAATGACAACACGTGTCCGAAGCATAGATCTCAGTGTCAATCGTATTCAATCCATCCATCCCCGAGCGTTTGAGAACCTCCCCTACCTCAGATACCTCATTCTGAAGAACAATCCTATTGTAGAGGCTAAAGGGCTGAGATTCTCTTCCAGCATGTTACAGCTGGTGGACTTTTCTCAGTGTGAGCTGAAAAGTGTGCCTGGCCCACTGCCTTCATCAGTTGCAGATTTGCGTCTGAGCAACAACAAGATCACAAAAATCATGGCAACAGATTTTGAGAACAACACCAACCTACAGCTTCTAACCCTAAATGAAAACATGATTTCAGATGTTGAGTACATGGCCTTTGCAACCACGAGCAACTTGCAAGAACTTTGGCTTAACAACAACAAGCTAACCATGATCCCTAGAGGTCTGCCAATAGCATTAGAAAAACTTTACATGGATCAGAATGAAGTCCATGACATTGAGTCCGGACTTTTTGGCAAAAATGCCAGTTTGGAGACACTATCTTTGAACATGAATGCTGTACGACAAATTCTGAGCAACTCCTTCTCTGGATTACAAAATTTGTCTACTATCTATCTTAAGGGGAACAATATCCAAGAATTAGTCAGTGGAACATTTACTGACATGTCAAGTTTGAAGGAAATCGACTTATCTAATAATCCTCTAAAAAGAATCCAATCCAAAGCTTTCAAGGACTTACCAAGTCTGCATGACTTGCAAATGTCTTACCAGGAACAAAGTGATGTCACAGTGGCTGACGATTTTCTTCCTGGGATTCAAAATGCCAAATTCCTTCAATTTATGAATAGTCCAGGAATGGCAAAAAACTTTTTGAAACTCATTGAAAAGACTAGAGTTACTTTTCCTTCCATAAAAGTGATTAATCTGGAGTATAATGAACTAAATACTTTACCATCTAACCTAAAAAATGCCCTGGTCAATTTAGAAATGATGACCCTGGATGGTAACCCCCTGCAGTGTGACAGAAGACTGTTATGGTTGTGGGAATGGATGAAGGTATCCAGTGTTAAGTTCTACAGCTTTGAGGCACCAACCTGTGCCGGACCAACAGAAGTCAAAGACCGCAAACTACAGAGTCTTCTAGTGAGTGAATTTACGGACGCACCAGAAACAACAGAGACAAACTCTGGTCCCCCAGCAAAACCAGAGGTCAGCACCCAGGGTAGGAAGACCACAGGGAGACAACAGGATAACACAGTAAAGCAGGACACTGACTCCACAACAGGGGAGGTCACGGCCAAACAGGAGAGAGTTCAAGGTTCAAAGGCCAACGGAGAAATCAAGTCCACAGGAAATTCTGCCAGGAAAACTACAGGTAAAAAGCAAAAAGGTCCTTCTGGGAAAAAGAAACAAAACAAACAGAAAAACGGAAAGAAAAAGAGAAACCCCAAGAAAAACACCAAGAACAGAAAACGTAATAAGAAAAATGGTAAGAAGGGGGCAAAGAGGGGAAAGAGAAAAATTCCCAGAAAGTGCACCAAGCTGCCCACAGGGGAAAGGAGGTGCTGTCGTAGGCTGAAAAATGGCACAGAAAGATGCAGGACCCTTAAGCCTAGAGTCAGAAAAAACAGCTTACGAAATCGCAAATTACGTAGGACAAGAAAGCGAAACACAAGAGCTCGCAAAACTGCATGAAAAACATTTGTGACTTTGTCCAGTGTGCATGAATGCTAGCTTATATTTCTAGACTTCCTTGATCTGTGTAATGTTCAAGTGAAATAACTTTAGTCTTTGCATGTTGTACCTGGATTTCATCTGAAATGCAGTTCACTTACGATGTTTTTATGTTGATTATGAGGCATGTAAAAAAAAATGGGACTTCCCCTCAAAACTGTTGTTCTGTCTAGCATGACTAAGAATTTCTCTGATTTTTTTCTTGTTAGTATTTTGAAATGCCCTCCTCCTGGCACTAAATCATCATCACATTAAGTTTTTCTTAGGCAATTTTATCAAATTAAGCTTCTTGAAAATGTAGTGTTTTAAAAGTCCATAGTGATATTGCATTTCACTGTTCTTTTCCATGTCAGTCTAAGAATGTTTTCTTTGTTACTTTTCCCTTCCAAAAGCTTTCATTTATAATCCAAAATCATTAACCAATTCATTTAGTTCAAGTGTTATTTATGAGTGTTTTTAATCATTGAAAAAGTTTGATATTTTCTTATTAATAATTTTTTTTAGTTTTAACACAATAATATTTTCTATTTTTAAATAAAATCGTGACATTTCATAATATCTAAAGCTAATCTATGCAAATCTTCAAATACAAAGAATTTTGTATATAGTATATATATCAAATTATAATAAACGTATGGCCAATCATAATTTGGTTCAGATTTTCAGTATCTAAAATGCTTATTTTTGTAAACTTTTACTATGCAAATAAATGATAGATAGATAATTTTGTGGCTTTTCTTTCAATAAATCAATACAAGAGGATACATCTAATTTCTGAAAAATGTTACTATTACATCTGTATATGACAAAGTATTTACTTCTTTCCTCTTTTCTAATTTCTCTCCACATATTTATATCTCAAACTTCAGATTGCAGAAATCAATGTTACTTATGATCTTTTATTTATATCTCACTTCACTTCCTATCTTGTCCTCACTTTAATACTATTTTACAAAGCACACACTGAATAAAACACACAACTACAAACTAAACTTATACCAACTGTACATTAAATTAAATTTATATCACCTGTATGTATCGACAATTAGATGCCATTCTATACAGGGCTGTTAATGTGACTGCACAATAAGGTTATCTTCACATGTAAGTATAATCTTAAACAAAAGTCCTCCACTCAGGTCAAAATTGTGTTTTCATTTCCCTCTTTGTACCAATGTGTTGGTAAGTTTATGTTTATTCATGAACATTATTCGTTTATAGTAGATAGAAATGAAAATGAAACACAATTCTTTATCGTTTTTCAATACAAGGGATGGAAAATGAGGATTTACTGTTCCATGAAACAAACAGTATCTAGTATCTTCAATGTCCACATATTTTTTTTTCATGTATCATGAAAATTATGGCCAGAGAACAAAGAAAATGTCTAGTTCTTTTTATGTGAATTTTCCATTTGATAAAATGTTGCATTTAATGGAAACAATGCAGCAACAACAAAAAACTATCACTTTAAACAATATTAATTTATTACTCAATACAAAATCTGTATATGTTAGTTTTGCATGCATTAGCCACATTTTTATTGTGTGAACAAACGAAGGGAGATAATTCTGACAACTTTTCTGTATCAATCTTTAACAGAATCTTGCTTTATCTTGTACTTTCAGGTT